CGTTCATTCAAATTTGCTTTTCAAGAATAACAAATGAGTCTAAAGTGCCCACGTGCTTGATACCGGATTTGGAACAAAATTTTCAATTTATCCCGGATTTCATAAAAACAAAAATTTGTTGTCCATAACAGAGTTTCCATAAAATTAAATTTATACTTTTAAGAATGAGATGCGTAAGAGTTAAATGATTTATGATTACCCGGTCTGCACAGTAATTTATTGCGGATGATTTATGATTGCCACGTGAATTTATTGCCAACAAATCAGAAAAGTTTGACCTTAAAAGATTGTGGAATCATCTCAAGTGACAACAACTTCTTGATGATATTATTGATCACAACTTGTGTCACCTCTAAGAATTTGAATTTCGATTTAGGGATTGTACTCAAATAATGTCTACCAAAGTCTACAGAGGAGTAGATTAAGGATGAAGTTTCGACTTTTGTAATTGAGGAAGCATAATTTTTGTGAATTCCTTTGACTTTAAGTTCTGCATCAAGAAGATCTTCTTGAAACAATCTAGAACTGATTCCATAAAAGTTGTGTTTGCATTCAAATGCTGATTCACTGCTCTGAGGTTCTAATTCAAATTTTAAAAGACATCACTTGTGAACAAAACCTAGTGTCCAGGACATCAATGTAAATTTTTGCACATTCATTTGAATATTAAGAACTTACTGTTTGGAAACACGAAAAATTCATAAACATCTGTGCGCAAAATATAAACTCGTTATTTTAGCTATAAAGCAGAAGTAAGTAAGTCTATGAATGAGAGCAGATGAGTGAAAAAAATTACAGAATCACTCATAAATGAAAGCGTATAGTCATTAAAAGAGATGGAAAAGCAGGAATACATTATTTTAATCCATTTTCAATGATAATTTATGATGCCATTTACGCCTTGAAATTGCATTAAAATAATGAATCGATAAGCATTTAAAATCACTTCCATTTGCAATTAATCAATTGAAATCCACCTGATGTAAGTTTTTTTGCTCATTTCTTTCTAAATTGAATCTGTTTTGCAAGTATGTAAATTTTATTTTCAACTCGATGCAATTTGTAGATTTGTGAAGTGACTTGCTGCACATGATAGTTTTTCTTTCATGAATTGAATGTATCGATAGGCAGTTCTGTTTAAATTTAATGGCTTTTTATGCACATTTTTCATATTTTTTATCGAATCAATTGAAGAAAAATTCTGGTTTTTTTACTACACAGCTGTTAACTTGATTTATATCTCTTAAGTGTATGATCAAATGGATATGGTTAACATTCAATAAACATATAAATTGAGTAAGAAAATATTTGAATTTTAATTATCACATAATGGTGCGAAATATGTGACAAAATATATTTGTTAAATCTGATGTTGTGCAATGTTAATTGCTTTTAAGGAACATAGAAGTTAATTGATTGTCATTATCATAATTGGAATATTAAGATACTGATCATTTGTCATCGATTATAAAGTGTTGAATAATGTCATTTTCGTAAATGGGCGATTCTCCAGATAAAAAATTTCAAAAAACCACCACTAAAATGAATTTTTATAATTTTTTTCCATTAGAGAGCCTCGAAAGACAAATTAATATTATACAACTTTTTAAACTCTACAAATCTGTATAATTAAATGCTTTCAATATACTCTAATTAAGGAAATATTTCGATTCTTCGGACGATTTCTCGAAGACAAAATATGGAATTTGGATTTTTATAATCAAAAATTAAGTATTAAAAACTATTCTTTGACATATGATATAAATACCAATCGATAGAAAACGAACTACTTTATCATATATGACAACAATTTTATTAAGCTTAATCCAAATTTCACAAGAAAATTCAATTCTTTTGATGAAAATTTTGTCTTCGAGTAATTTTTAAAGCGCTTGAAACTAATTTGTGAGATTCAAATTTTTCAAATACGTTATAAATTTAAATGGAATATTTTTAAAAGAAACGATGATGATTGAGTGCAATATTAATTATTAATTACCTTTTGTTTAATTAAAACATATAAAAAAATGATTTTTATAAATTAAATTTTTCCCAACGTATTTCAAAAATTTAAAAATTTCAAGTAGCAGTGGAATTACAGTTCTGTTTTTAAAAATTCAACCTATCTGGAGAATCGCCCAAATGCAATTTCAATAAGGGGTCGTTCACTTATGACGTCCGAAATTAACGGTTATTTTTCAAAAAAGAACAGTGGATTTCTAAGAATTTCTATTGTTCTTTACTTGTGACCCCTCCCCCTGAACGTCATAAAAGAACGGCCCATAAATTATGTTAATATTTTCAACCTAGTTGATTTAATTTGTAAACTATGCAAACTACTTTTCCTCGTATTGCTGGCTACCAATTTAAATTCGAACCCAAAGCTAGACGTTAAAAAATGATCAACTAGAAACCAATATTATGAACTCATTCAATCAGCTAAGCTTAATATTTTTGCTGTTCTTATCCATTATTACAAATTATCTTCTACTTAATTCTGTTTACTTTCATATTTCTCGGGTTTAAAACTATTATTTTCTAATTCGCTACTGTTTTTTTCTCATTCCTTCCTATATTGAAGCAAATTATCAACCGTGCCCAATATATACAACGTCTCACACTTTTTTCTTTATCACATTCTCATTTACCTCTTATTTGTTAAGCTGTTACTATGTATATAGCACAGAGTAATAAATTTGAACAGCATATAATTAAGACGTTCTATCCCGTTCAGTGCAATATGTAATTTTCTTATTTGCTTTCTTTTTTTATGTTCCATTTCTTCAACCCGGTGCGATTGGAAGTTATAATAAAATTATTGACATTTTAAGTTAGACATAAATGCCACCTTGCTTTATTCCTTACTATTATTGTTATTTTTTTATTAATTTATCATTTTTTCCAATTGTCTTGGACATACAAAGTACATTATTGAGCTGAAAACTGTGCCTGTTTCTTTCTCTCTATCAAGTCAATTAAAATTGTAGAGAGCTATAAAGTATATTGATCAATATTATTATAATTGGTTGTTTTTTATGTTGTCATAAATTATAATAGATACATACTGATCTTGTAAAAAATAGAAGCAGTGAAAGTTATGCAAATGTAAACTTACTAACATGGAAAATAAAAATGTAATGGGAAAAAAGTCAAGATTTATGTCTGATAAAGTTCGAGAAGTGTAAAGTTACACATTTCAGTACGTTGTTAAAATTATTACTCTTAAATCAATTAGAATAACGATCATTGTTATGGAAATTATTTCTTTTGTCAAGCACAAAGTCAATGCACTTCTTGAATAGGAAATGATCATAAAAAATTATCCTACGTACAGTTTTGTAGAACAAAATTTAAATAATAATAGTAATGCTTTCATATTTTGTTTAATAATGAATGGAAATTGATCAATATTTATAGCAGTTTATGGAAATTTTTAAGATTTAAGGGGTCATTTCGTTATGACGTTTAAGATGTGTCTTTAGCTAGTTCAGACAAAACTTTTGATTTGGTAATATATTCTCAGATACCAAGTTTCTAAACAAGTCTGATATCAAGATGCATATTAAGACTTAAATTCCCATTAATCTTTATGATCTATATATGATTTCAAGACTAGTTTGATTTCAGGTACAGATCATAAAAATCTTCAAGAATTGCATCTTATCTTTAAAGAGTTTAGTCAGAATTTGATTATTTCATTCAACCGTAAATAGATTCTTTCTCAGAAAAGAGTAATACACTTGGATGTCTAGATTCTCTTTAGTCCTAGAGTGGTTTATAGCCATAGAAGTATAAAGATAAATTCGAACTTCATCAACATCCACAGATGTGCCAAACCTGTGTGATATGTAAGGGAGAGAGGGACATCCAACAATCCTTAATGTGTCTGATATTACTTCATAACAATTCGCTAACAGCTTGAAATCAGGGGTGTGAAACTGATAAATTACCTTTTGACCTTTTTTGGTTATATTTCAATTATTTCATCAGTTTCGCACCCTTGCTAATCAGGCTGATTGTCCCCCTTCCCTTCATAATTTCAAGTAATATGTAGGTATCGGAAATAATTTTTGTTTCAAATTTAAAACATTCATATAGCTATTAATCCATGCATCAGTGAAGACAATTTGCTTGTTCGTTCATAAATAATAATGACACGGCAATTAAGCACAAAAAAATAATATTTGCAATTTTGCAAGATTTTTTTTAAGCAACTTAAAAAGGCGTTTTTCAATTTGAAACAATAATTTTTATGTTCCTTATCTGGTGTTTTTAATAGCTATATAATTTAGATTCTATATCGGGCGTGTAATGCTAAGAAAATGTTTTCATTTAAAATAGAAGAATAAAATAATAATAAAAATGCAAAGGAATATGAAACATGATTTGTAAGAGATTTAAAAGAGCGTAACGCTCGTGTATATATTGCCTTAACATATGCAAGTCAATGCATTAATCCTACATATATTATATATGATTGAAAAAAATAATAATAAAAATTACAATTTTTGTTAAAGAAAATTGTTATGGAAAATCACATTACAGCCGTAAATTGCAGCGAATGAACATTGGGGATCATTATGCATTATGCATTTACACTTAAAGAAATGAGAGGAGAATAAATCTTTTTAAAATATCAAATTTATGCTGTATGCCCCTCATAACGTCATTTACAATCAGATGATGGTTAAAATTATTGAAAAAGTATCGAATGCAGCGTATATATTTTATTATATGCCTTTCCTTTACATTTCTTTACCAGCTCGAGTGTGTTTTTTTATCGGAAGTCTGTCATCTCTTATTATGTTTTTGGTACTTCTCTTTTTATGATTTTCTTAAAAAGAACTCTTCTTATTCCATTTCATTTCTTGCGTTTTGTGTAGGACGTTATTTAAGTCCAATTTTAAACTCCAACTCAATATTCGAATTTTAAACGATTTCTTAATTTTTGTATTTTTATAGCAAATTATAACGGTTTTAAGAAATTCAAAATCTTCTTTAAAATACTTTATAGCAAGTTTTTGTGAAGCTCAATAATAAAAATTAATTAATTACGGCTTCTACAGCACACATAGAAGATTAAAAATCACAAATCATGGTAATTAGAAGTCGTTTTAATCAATAGACCACATAAAATTAAGTAAAAACTCTCATTTCAGAGCTTTTTATTCGATCCAAACACAGAAGAATCTTTCTTTAATAAAATTATCAAGAAGGATCAAATCCTGTCCAAAAAGTTTGCATTTTACTGGGGGGATCGTCTAAATATCATCAGATACAGAAACACTACAACATTCCTTGATTATAGCTGCAATGGAATTGCTTGGATTGTTGGATTGATAGCATTTGCTTACTTCAGCAGTCATAGCTTCATCGAAGTGGAAATTAATCTATTAATGGTGCTAATCTTCGACATTGTGGTTGTTGCCCTAATTAAAGCATATACTCAGCGAGCCCATCCAAGCTATTGTGATACTCATCCTTTAAAAATAGGTAACAGATTTACTGGATCTTTTAAAAGTAACTAGTTACTAGATTCTCTTTTTACAGACTACAATAACTTTTCATTCCCGAGTGGATATACTTCAAGAGCTACTCTGATTCTTATGTTCTTTACTGTTTTCTATCCATTGCCAATAATCATCTGGATCCCACTCTATGCTTGGTTCTGTGCAATTTGCTTGTCACGGTACGAACTGCTTTTTTATAGAATGTTAATCTCTTATTAATGGAACTGCTTTTAATTTTATAGTGTAATGCTTAGAAAGCACTTTATTCTGGATGTGTTTGGAGGAATAGCAGTTGCATCATTGGAAGGAATCATCATTTCATACTTTTTGATCAATACAGAAACTGCAATAAGCTTATTTAATTGGATTTCGGACGAGAAAACAGTTGGAAGCGATGCTGAGGTGCTATAAAAGTCAAAACATAAATTAATTTTTCCTTATTTGCCAAATTAAATTAACACGAGAAATAACCGAAGAAAATGGCATGTGTAAGTCATACAGCATTAAGTAGAAAATAAAATAAAATTTGGAGTGAGCTGTCGAGAATATATTTTTGCAGTTACACGCTACGTGCTTGCTTCTCGTACAGAGTAAAGCGAAGGCGAGAAAATAATCAGTTTCATATTGCATTTCATAACTTTAGCGAGGAGGCTTTAAAAAAAATACAAATGAGGCTGATGCATTTTTAATGCAAAATTCACTCTTTCTCTCTCGTTTTGTGTGAAATTGAGCATTTTACTTCGCCTGAATGCGATCATGGATTAGACTATAAGTCACGAAATATATTCCTTTCAACCTTCATCTCACTAAAAGTGTTAAATCGCTTCAATATACATAAAAAAATACTAAATGGTTTTCAGAAATGTTTTAAAAAAGAAATTAATCTTTGATAGCCGTGTTTAATTTCTTAACTGCTTTTCATGCACACTCCTGACAATAATTTCTGTTTTTCTCTGTGCTTTGTGCTCGCCCAGTCAGTTAGACTTTTAAGAGCGAACAGCTTTGAGGCAGAAATTGATGCATCGAAACTGATACAAGTCAATGGAATCATAAGGCACGAAATGAAGTTTCATGCGAAGCATATTTTTACTTTTCATATATAGATATGCATCTTGGAAGTAAGCAATGAGTTTCACGTAGTTTCAGTTTTGAGAATATCACATATTTATGGTCATCACACAGGTTCATCTTGATTTTATGTCTGTTTTATTTTTTTGTGACTTTCTTGACAAATAATAACTTTTTAAAAAGAAATGCATTAACACAAAAAGAGCTTGTAATGGAAAAATATGCAGCATCACCATCTACAGAGAACTTTTTAAGTCATGCGATATTTCAAAGAAATAATTGGAAATAAGGCAAACATAGAAAATTCATTAACGTTAATGTTGAACAATTCCTTTCATGTATTTAGCATGCATTTTGCGAAGGTTGTGGACCACAATGATCAGTATGATTTAGGGCTGTACTTTTTTGGAATAATTGGAAATGTTTCATATTTTTTTAAATTAGTTGAACATACTTAATGTAGAGATCGTTTTCTAATGATGCCGTAATTCAGCACAGCACCAAATAAAATGCGCCTTCAATAGACAATTCACAGCAACTTCAAAAGCGCAAAATAACATGCATATATCCAACAATATTCAATTACCTTAAAATCATTTGCAAGTAAAACAGAAATTCTTCAAATTACGCTTAAGGAATGAAGGCAAGAAACAGTTCATTCTTCCAGACCAAAAAAAAAGCGTACATACAAAAACATTCGAGAGGAACGAGAAATAAATTGGAAATGAAAAAATTAACACGAAATGAATTTTTCACATCTCCTTTTTTTTGCACAGAATAAGTAATTTTAGGTTCATGCTCAATTACAAATTAAGAATAAAAATGGATTGTACGTGCTGTTCCAAGAAGTATGAAATTAATATCTAGCGAGGCAGAATGCAAATCTAAAATGAAAATTGGTATGCGAACTTTTGAGGGTCGTCCATAAACTGAGTATTCATGTCTTAATAGGATCATAAATCAGCAATAGCTTTAAGATAATTCAGATAACATGTAACGCTGTAAAGATTGGTGTCATCAAAACTTCAAGCTATAAGAAACAACTAATCAAACAGCACTTAGAACTCATTTAGACATTGACAATATCTGGTGTTGGTTTAATAATCAGAATGCTTATTTATTAATAAGTTTAATTAAAGAATCATTCATTTAATTTATTGGGAACGATGCATATTCATCAGAGTTCAAAATGGAATAAACATTTGTATGAAGGGGCTAATTGCAATCAAGGGGAAAACAACTAATTCTTGTTGCGAATACAATTTAAATATTGAATAACAGTTGATATATTCTCAACAACTGATTTTAATGCTTTATTTTCAATATCAAGCACTTTAATGGAGCTATTCACAACATTCTTGACTATCATTAAACATTAGAATTCATTTAGGATCCCTAGGCTGATAAGACTCTAAACATGATGAAGGTTCACAAGTTCAAACTAGCTAAGAACCGAACATCCTGCTTAGATCGAAGTGAGCTCCATTCACATTGTTTAATAATTGGATCCAGTGGATATTTAATTGGACAATTAAGCTATTTCAGCTTCAGACATACAACCCCTCTAAAATGCTCAGTTATTTATGATTTAACCGTGAATAGCTTTACAGGGATGAGGACTGACTTCACAAATAAATGACCCCTAACAATACCAAATTCATATGTGAGCCCCGCAGTCATCTTAAGTGATCATAAGACACAAGATACAGCAAAGAAAGAAATAACTCGAGTTGAGAGCAAGTTTTCCTTTTTTATGCGAACTGCCGATAATTGCAAATGATTTCTATTTATGGCAGCACCTTTTTTTTGATGAAGGAAGAAAAAATGTTTGAGCAACATAATTTCTCATTTAAGTTGGAGTCACTAAATGGTAAGTTGCTTTTTGCAGTTTTAAGAAATGATGTTTAAATGAAAATTTCCACATATGGTATCGACTGACTGCTGAGTAAACCTCTACATACGTAAAAAATTTCCTTCCCAACTAGCAAGCTAGGCAGGAATTGACTATAATCGGATTATTTTACGTGAACTGCTGCTCGATTTCTTATTCTGTATGCTTACTCATTTCAATTCGCGATAAATAGAAAACGGAGCATAAAAGAAAAATAAATAAATCTTACACATAATGGAAACAGTGAGGTACTGAAAAAGTTCACACATGCATTACCATTATAATGTGATACTGGGCATCGACGCAATTTCTTGTTTTCTTTGCCCGAGCAGCATGTTCTTATTCATTCTTGCTTTATTCTTACTGTTCATGATAATTTAAGATAGTCATGTACGGGTCTGAAAGCAATTTTTCCGTCATTGACTGTTGGCAACCTTCAAGATTCAATTCAATAGGAGGTAATTCTAGAATTTTATATCAATACGTAAGATTCGTGATTTTATTTCTCATAGTCCAGCGAGTAATATGTTTAATTCATGAGAGATTTGATATTGCTGCTGATTCTCAATATGATGGTAGCACAAACTGCTGTGAATTAATATTACTATGATTGAAATTGCGCTTATTGTTCTAGACGCACGTTTAATGTGTTGTGCACATCTAGTTCAGTTCATAGCTTATGATAATTTATGATTGAGAGAAATTTCTTTTTTAATTATAATAAGATTGATGTCAATATGCACAAGGAAATCAGTTCACATTTTCCTGTATTCATGCACAGCATCTTGCTTAATTATTCATGAATATAATTAACGGAAGAATAAAAATTTGAGGAATTAACGGTTGTTTACGATTTAAAAAACATTTTCTTTTCAGAAAATAGCTGAGCGCGAATTATTAAGCAAATTTTTTGAATTGTATCAATTTTGTGAATTTAATTAATATTCCTGAAATTACAGTGAAGTTAATTCCTCTTGTTCAGAGCATAAATAATACATAATCATGAGTTTCAAGGTAAGGAAGGGAAATTGACAAAAATAAATCTTTTAATACAAATTTTAAGGTTCAAACAATATTTATCTTTAATTAATAGCCAATCGATGAATCCAAAGAAGATTACCGCTTGTATTTAGCGAAACACGGTGTTTTAGATGCATTAACTAAGGTTCTATCAAAAATACAAGAAATGCAGCCTGAGAATCCTCTGGAATTTTTAGCATCAAATCTTTCTGTATCATTAAATCAACAAGACATGATTCGTGATTTGGAAATGAAATTAGGCAGTGCCACTCAGGAAATTAATCGTTTACAAAAGGAAGTTGAGCGCTTGAAACAACCACCAAATCGCTTTAATTTTAAATGAAACTACAAAGCTACTGTCTATAATCATTTAAAAAGTTGTCAATTATCCACGGCAATCGTGGAACTATCATCAAAACTTGCCAATGAATCTTTAAATTTTTAATAAACTTTCCATTATCATACATTTACAAGGAATATTTTTGAACTTTTCTATTTTTTTCACATACCTATATTTAATATTAAAGGACATACATTCATTCCGTGATTGACATTCTATCTGAAATGTACTCTTTTGACAGTGAGACAAAAGTATTAAGTTCGTATCAATTACAGCCTTTTTACAATCATTTTGTAACTGCTGGACAACATGCTTTACACTATCTTCTTCGAGATCCATCGAAAGTCATTCAAATAAGCTACGACGATGGAGTTACATTGACTGCTGGTGAAATGGCAAAATTGGGATTAAGGATTGCTAAGAATGTCTCAAAAGAAGGCTTAAAATTAGGGGATGTGATTGGTTTAGTAGCAAAAAATACAACTTATGTTGCTCCAGTCGTTTTGGGATCCTTAATATTAGGAACACCATGCTCGACACTTGACCCAACTTTCGATGAAGGTGAAATTGCTCATATTTTCAAGCAAACGAATCCAAAAATTGTGTTTTGTGATCATGACAATATGAAGAATGTGGAAAAAGCTCTACAAAGCATCAATAATGGATCTGAAGTCATCACAATCGATCAACGAGTCCAAGGTATTGGGTCGTTCATTAAATACGTAAATACTTTTAAGGCACCCTAAAGATATCCCGTAATTATTAAACAACCTTTTTGAAGGTCAACGAAACGATATTCTTAAAAAACTCAAAACTATTGATTTTAATGATTAATTTTTTATCACAGGTGTTCGATTCGTTACTGAAATGTTTGAGTTATTACAAGGCGAAGCTGAATATGTGTAAATCCTATTGATTTTGTTCTGTGTGACAAGCTTTGTTAACTTAATTATTTTATAGACCCAGAAATTTTGGCACTGAAGCATATAAAGCATGTGGTGTGATTTTATGTTCCAGCGGAACTACATCAATTTCTAAAGGCACGATGTTATCACATTCTCAGTGTATAATTATTGCCAGTGCTTGGTAAAATAACTAGCTTAATATCCTTTATGTCCTTAAACTAATACTTATCACATGACAGGTCGCAAATTCATTATCCAACAATTTTCTGCTTCAGTTCCTTATATTGGTTGTCAGGCTTTACAACATTAATGCAATGCTTGGCAAATAATGTCAAACGGATAATCACAAAGCGTCCTTATCGTCCACTACTTTTGATTCATTTAGTTGAACAATTTCGAGTTAATGTCATTGTCACGGCACCATCACATGTTGCCTTATTACTACAATCACCTTACCTCAAATTTGCAGATTTTAGCTCTATTCGAGTATGGATTATGGGAGGTGGTGCTGCTAATACACTTATTCGTAAAGGACTTCAAGATCATATTCTGTATGGAACGATAGTCATGACATATGGAATGACTGAAGTTGGTCCTATAATTTCATCTACAGGTCCATTTGAAACCATATCTAATAGTAGTGGAAAGTTGAGTCCTAATTTTAAAGTTAAGATTATTGACGAAGATGGATTTGCTTTGGATTTATATGAAGTTGGTGAGATTTATTTAATGCCACCTTATAGATTTTTAGGATACGCAAACAACGATGAAGGAACTAGAAATGCATTCGATCCAGAAGGCTGGTTAAAAACAGGAGATCTTGGATATTTAACAGAAGAAGGCGAGATCTTCATTGTAGACCGCAAAAAAGACATGATTAAGTACTTGAATTATCAAGTTGCTCCATCAGAAATTGAAGCTTTTGTGAATGGAATTAATGGAGTTTCAGTTGCTTGCATTGTCGGAATTCCTGACATGATTAGTGGAGATTTACCAGCAGCTGTTGTCATAAAGGATAACAATAGTGACATTACTGAGCAGGATATTATAGATGAAGTAGCAAGTAAGTGCATTATTAATTTAAGTAACATCTGAACTGTATCTAAATCTATTTCAGGGAACTTTCCAATATTCAAGAGACTACATGGTGGCGCATATTTTGTCGACTCATTACCAATGACACCTTCTGGAAAAATCAAGAAGCGATTAGTACGTAAAATGGCAGCACAAATGTACAAGTCACAAGAAATTAATGGAAATTACTAAAATGGGCACTTGAAACCTATGAGTTCATCTCATTCGAGATATGGAAATAAAATATCATCTATGGATTATCAACCTTTCTACTTGATCAAATATTAACTTCACAAATATTAAAGTACGTTTATTTTTGCTCTGTGTACACGATAAAATATTTAGATATGTGTGTATGCATACAGATGATGTTGATTAATAAATATTTAAAAGCAAGAAAATTCAATCAACTTAAGCATCCTCGATTTCAATTATCCTCTCCAGAATCATTATATTGTCTCATAATAAATTACTATGCGGATGTTACTATAAATCTAGTAGCACGTTTCATGCCATTTATAATGGATTGCTTTTTATTTGCGAAAACTCTTTCGTCTGAAATTGCATACCTAAATGAATTTCATTCTGATGACTATAGAAACTTTGCATGTCGTTGCATTTCTATACGATATCTCAATATTACCTTCATGGGTATCAGAAAAATGAAGAAAGATTTTAGCTAAGACAAGATTTCTAACCTTCCTTCCAAAGCTCGAATTCGACTCTAGTTGACTCAACTCGACTCAAACCCGAGTCGACTCAACTTTTCTCGAAACTACTTCATTTTTTTCGAGTCAACTCGAGTCCACTTTGAGCTCTGCTTCCTTCAAATTTGATCCAAATATTTAATAAACATCATAACTGTATGACCCCAATAGATGAATATATTCATTTTCGTTTACTTTTTACTATACCTTCTCGTAATTTGCTTTACGATCATCATATAAACAGAAGTGCATTCTTAATATAGAGGAACCAGAAAGATCATAAAAATCTTCAAAACTTAATTATATATTGTGTATTCTAAAAACATGACTATTCGTGTTTGATTACCGTCTAAAGACTCAAATTGATGGTTCGAACTAATGAACGAGCATCAAAATTGGCCATAATTATTATTATTTTCAAAATATACACATGCTATCATCTCTTTTAAGACGGTCCATCGTTTTCGTTTGATTCTAACGTGGTAAGTGTTAAGGGATATATAATTTTTTCATAAATATCGAAAATTGAATAAGTTTAAATATTCATTAATGAAATCGAGAGGATTATTGGACAGTAAGGCACATTTAGAAAAGGAAAGCAACATCTAGTAACATTCTAGCAGCACGCTAATCTGATGAAAGATGAAATCACTTTGATGTAAATTTAATTAATAAGAATGTAAAACATCATAATTATTAAGATTATAACATCCTGAGATGAATCTAGCGATGTAAATCTATGCTATAAATTAAAATAGAGATTTATGGGAGCTTTAATTGCATTTACTAATAATTTTTGAGATATTCTTTTTGATTGAGTTTTATTGCAAACATTAGGATTATTCAAATGTATTTAAATTAGTGCTTTGAGCTAATGAATGAGCATCTAAATTGCTTATAATTGTTATGATTTTGAAAATCTACAAAACTGACTAACATGTTACAGTGCTGGATGTTTGACTGAGATATGCTGGTAGATTGTCTAGACTTAATGATCATTTATATTTTTGTGAATTCAGGTTTGCGAACTATACATGCTGCTTTTTAGCTGTTATTATAGGATCGATTGTTTGGGGATCATTTACATATGAAGTCGATTGGAAACCTATTCAATCTGATTTAAACACATAATATAGAGCAGCAGTAAATGATGAAAATCAATTGATATTTAAGTCCAGCCTTATCCTCATATGTTCATATTGAATGAAGATCAAGAAAGCCATAAAACATGCGAATATCCAACTCTGAAGTTTTTTATTAAAAGTCATAACGCGAAATAGTAATAAACGAGCTCAAATAAAGAAATATAAATGAACATGAAGATGAATGGATGGATGAATGAACGAAAGTATTGACGTGTAATAAATAAAAAATTTAAAGTTCATAAAATATTCAAAGTATATTCGATTTAATGTAAACTAGGTGAATGTATCATTAAAAATCATAGCCAGTAAGTGATTCATGGATTTTTAAAGCGGAAATAGCAATATTCATTCATTTCCTGCTTAATGATCCTTTCTTATTCTGTTCGTGTTATTTTTTTGAGGAGCAACAATAATAACAATATTTACACGCGCTACACAATGCTTAGGTCAGGTAATTTTCGTTCTAATTTCATACCTCTTTACATTCTTTCCGGTCAATTTAGAAGTGATATTTCTGGTAAAATTGAATAATTCTAGGTTATTTCTCTTTCATTTGAATTTAATTAAATTGAAGAGAATAACAACAAACAGATGTTAGTTCCATTAATTCAACACATTCTTTTTTCATTTTCACACATTAAATCAACTTTAATACATTTAATTAAAAATTCACTGTGCATGATCATCATCATGTCAGCTAAATAAATAATGCAATTAATATGTTTGTGTAATTATGGAATGCAACAAGTTATCAAGCAATTGCCATTTCAGGTAAAAATGATGAATAGGCTTCATTCTGTAATAAATTTTTTTACTTTACCTTTTTTGTAGATGGAGATTGTAATTTAGTCTTGAGATGTAAAGGGAATTTAAGATATATATTGGGTCATTCGAAAATGACGTCAATCGAACAATTGATGGTTTAGACTCAGAATAATCTACTCTATCCTCTTAAACAATCCATTCGTAATTTATGAACGACCGCAATGATTTCTTAAAGTTTCTATGGCATCTAGTTCCTTTTATTGTTACGTTATAACAATAGAATTTCTATAGTTTCATAAAAACATAAAATCGCTATGAATAAATTTAATTATTATTTACAACACTTCACCATCTTCTTCATCCTATTAGAACCTGTAGAGAATAATTTTGTGTTTATCTCGAGAAATCAGAAGATGATTGATAGAACTTCAATTCATTTGTTCCATTTTTCTATGTAGATGGATGTTAACTGCTTTTGAAAGAGGTATGAGTACTTTTGAAGACGGTTTAGGTTTTTGAAGATAAGGTTTGTTTCGAAAAGGAATCGTTTACTTATTACATCCGAAATTAACGGTCATTTTTCAAAAAAGAACAATTGATTTCCAGGAATTTCTATTGTTCTTGTCTTGCTGACCCGCGCACCCTGAAAAACATAAGTGAACGGTCCTTAATCTGAGGTTGGGCTTAGATTCAAACAATTTTACCAACAACCTTTAAATCAACGAGTTTAAAATGATTTTTGACCCTTTAACAAGCTTATTCATTGTGCCTTGCTTTAGAAAGTTTGATAAACATTGCTAAGTACCTTGGATAGGACCTTATAAAGCAAAAGTAATGTAAATTTACATCCAATTGAAGAATCTAGCAATAAAACTAAACTCAGATTTATCTCGATATGCGCTACAGAGTATTCAATCCACAGGTGGTTTTATATTTATATATTTTCTTATTTGGTCGTTGAGATCTATTGTTGTCCATTTATATTCTCGAGTGTGAACTATCCCATTAAATGTACGTAAGCATTCTTCTCTCTCTCTCTCTCACATTTTATTATTTTTTATCGCATACAGATTTTAAATTTAAAAACACAACGTGAATAAAATAAATGAAAAATAAGAAGAAATCAAAAATCTCATTCATCTTTATGTTCTTTCCCATTGTATGTATCATGTCTGTGCTGTGTACGAGAATATTTTAAATTACATTGAATATGATTTGTAAGTTTAGAAATATGAAATTTTTTAAATGACAGAGAGTCAAATTTGATGCTGTCTATAAAGTTACTGTCGACATACAGTTTTCTGCAATTTGTTAAACAAAGTCTTCGGTGTCTCCGAAAAGGCAAGCAAATCTGAATAAAATAAAGAGCAGTAAAAAGTACGAAAAAGAGAGAAACGAAAAGAAGCAAAAATGGGATTTCAACGATGAGGCTGTTGGAGCCAGATTTTAATCCATTGGACATAAATTGTATTCTACAGCTAAATGGCTATTTTGTAGCTTCCAGACATTTAACCAAAAAAATAAGAATAAGCGAAAACGAGGAATAAGAGAGAAAAGAGGAAAAAAACACAAAAGCACTAATTTTTCATCCGAAAGTCTCTCGACCTTCACGAAAATCGTTTCAAAAGAAAAACAGAAAGAGAACCTAAACTTGAATTTCGCTGAATATGTATTGATCATTACTATAAAAAAAACACAATGGGTCAACATGAAGTGGAATATAATCAGAAATCTGTTAAGACTTCCAGCCAGCCTCTCTCTTGAGTGTAGATATATTCAAATTTATTCTTCAATTTCCAATTTACAAAGTCATATTTCATTCTGATGTGTATACACATACACTCATGGATGAGCATCTATGGAAGATAATAAAAATAAATTTTCTATATGCCTCATTATTTTTTATTGGATCGACTTGGAGCGCATTTTACTGGATAAAACTTACTGGATGATTAGTGGTTCTTGGTTGGAGTCAGGATGATATGTTATGAGTTTTTAAAATGATAAATCAGTGCAGTACAATTATAACAAAAAGGGTGTAACCTTTATATGACATTTGGTCATATATTGAGTGACCCACGCAAGCTCAGTGAACGGATTCAGCGACCGGATATCGGAGAATGTGGGTTCAAATGCTGTTCGGAATTAATTGTTCAGAATTGTAATTTTGTTACTCCAATTTCAACCACATAACTTTAAGTCAATTCTTGTTACCGAACTTTCTTATTATCATTATTCAATGTATATGCAGAACCAGTGGTCGATGCTTGAACCGATTGATAATTTGTCTGAAATGTTTGATTTCAAAAGCGCCAGCGGCAAAAATCGAAATCCAAATTTTGAATTGGTTCGAACCAACTCGTTTAAACTTAAGTCGACTTCAACATCTGAGCAGAACAAAAGAAAATATTAAAGGAACAGCAAGGAGATCATTGATAAATTCAGTTACACTAAAATTGACAATTTATTTTTGAGCTTGAAGTCGAAAGACTCAAAACCAAACAAAAAAGTTGAGTCGGCTTCATTTTTTTCGAGTCAACTCGAGTCGACTTCGAGCTCTGCTTTATTTTGACAATCCTTTCCAAAAACATAATATTTAAGGATGCAAATAGTCTGACGATCCTCATCATTCTGCTACATAATTCCCAAACAGTCCCTAACCACATAAACGAGAAAAATTATTGATTTGGTGTTACTTGATTTCATTTTCTCTTCTTCATCGTAAGTATATAAGTACAATGAGATGCTATTAATTTTTTTTTTTTGGTTTTTCATCGTGGTACGTACATTCACTCAATTTCTCATCTCCACTGTATTTTTCATATTAAAACCATTAAGAAGATCGACGTGTGTGCACGTACAACGTACAAAACAACAGATAGACATCAAAAGGAGAAAGAGATAAAGAAAGAATATTTTGTATAATATTAAAAACAAAAAATAAAGTTGATACAGAAACTGGTTATGCTGTATTCTTTGTTATTTTCTTTAGAAATTCTTATTTCGGTAGTGTTGGTTCCACCATCGAGGCGCGAGATCAGTTATTTTTTTCTTCTTTTTTGCTATTCTCCACATTTTAAGAAATCATACGAGCTTATTCTTAATGTGATCCTACAACAGCATAATAACGTATGGAAGAAGAAAAATTCTCCACGATTCCTTTTTGACTTGGATTTTTGTTTTTATATTTCTTCTTCTGTCTTCCTCTCGTACGTTTCTTTCATTCTTTTCATTTCGGGTGTTACATTTATTATTTTCTTGACACTTTAATGTACTTACACATACACATATATATATAGCCATACTATGGACCATACATATCTCATGATAAATAAGGAAATGGGAAAACAAGATAATGAGTTTAAAGTCTTTTTTTTTGTATCAAATTATAAGCCATACACTGTATAATGATATCAAATATTATTTGTACACATATTATACTTTGATAATGTTATGTTTTATGCATGTTAATGCTGCTTTCTTATTTTACGTAAATCCATTTATTTTGCAAAACGCATGTCTACATGATTACAGTTTCATACTTGAGGATTTTTCATTTGAACTTAAGTGATGGAATAAATTTGAATTTAATGGAATATTAATCATTTGCTGAACATGTACTTCATGATCATGAGATTTTCGTCACTCGTTAAGCACAAGATATATAATATGCCACAGTATCATAATACCGTGTTGGTTTAAAGTTATCTGAAAAGATCAAAATTCTAATTTTAAACTTACAAGAAAGCACGAAACATTTTTATTGACAAAGGAGTGGTCTATGACAAGAAAATACCATAAAAGGTATGTTATCTTGTGTGGTTGATAAACTCATAACACCTAAGTCAATGTTTCAGGATGTGAATCTCTTTACACGTTTTGAAACGTCAGACTAGCACTGGAACTTCATTTAACACGATGTTTGATGTAATATTGGGGAGAATTAATGCAACTCTTTAGATAACAAAGTTAAGGAACAACGATTTGATTGGATATACAATTCATGAAGTGCTAAAAAGAATGTCGATGCCAGGGAAGTTATAAATGATTTTTGAACTACTCATTAGGCGATACGCAACTATTTTAGCACTCAATACTGAGGTTAAGGTAGATTCATGATGAAAAAAACAGTTAAGATGCATGTTAAATCTCCAAAAGTAACATACTATTATCATGAGAACTGATACAAACTAGATTATAAAGCCAAGAATTGAATCAAATTGAAAATCATTCTTTTGTTTTAATCAAAGTTTCATTCTAGGTTATGATTAAAGTAAGGAACATTAGCAGACATTCTTTAACCATTTAAAATTTACCGTCGATCACACGCCAATTTTCCTAGCTCGAGCAGCCTAAATAACCGTCTACAAATTAAAATGCAAGTATATCCACATGATTAGAGAAACTCTGTGCTTATTTAAAAATATTTATGAACACGAATTGTTTTTAAAATCTTCCAGTCGAAGTTTATTCGAGCATTCATGCGTAAAGGCGATCTCATTAGGTGTTTGGCGACTACGTTTTATGATTTGAATTCTAAATAGATTTTTTATGGGAAATCGGAACTATTTCTATGTGTATAATAAAATCTGATTCTCAATGGTTTTCTGGAAAGGTGAGATAAATTGCGTGAAATCTAAGCTCGACTTGTGAAAAAAGAACATTAAATTTTCAACATTAATTGACCGAAGAAGCTTTTCAATAGACACAAAATGGGATCTTAACAATTTGATTTAGAACGAAAGTAGCAAGACAGAAAATGAAATATTTTGTTTAGCACGCATAAATACAATTAAAACCTGGCGCCTTTTCCTAATTTATCTTCCAGCTAGAGACTTTCTTCTCTTTCTATCTTTCTTATTTGTGTGTATTTATTTTCATTCGCGATGGGGAGTTCTTAAAACAACAAATACAGCACCAAATCACTCATCATAAAAAGAAGAGTGTAATGATCGATGCTGCTGAATATTATTTCTCATTTTCTTGAAGAATTATTTGGAGAGAATGTGTAAATGTTGACGAGATTAGATTGACTAAAATGTTATTTTAACAGCAGAAAGATGAATAAATTAAACAAACCTTGTGTATACAAGTTTTAACAGTTTCAACGGATTCTTTTCTCGAAATAGTGACGAGGTACCCAGTCAGATAGATCGAGGGGGTCGATTATAAATAATATTGATTTTAGAGTTGGAGGTTATGACCTAAGAGAAGCTTGAACAGCAATACCAAAAGTTAATGATTTCTAAGACAACTTCAAACCTTTAAAAAATAGTGCTTGTGGTTGAACTTAAGGTTGATACTAAGCACTATAAAACTACAGTTCATAGTAGGATCTGACCTGTCCTATTGAACAAATTTCTGCATTTATTCCAGAAATAAAAGCTGTAAGTTTTGATTTCTTAGTGTCGTCCCATTACGCATTAGAATAAAGGACAGTTTAGTAAAGTTCTAATAAATTTCAATAAGTTATATCCAAGGCTGTGCAACTGAAGAATTATATTTTGATTTCATCATTTCATCAGTACCACACCCTTGGTTATATCTGATCTGATTATACTTCAGGTGATCAATCTACAGAAATTGATAAAAACTGATCACAATTCTTTAAACAACCAAACAGATTTCCAGTCAGATGCTAAGCATAAGAAAAGAACATAGCAATGTGAAAAGGATAGAGGATCCCTAGCAACTTGATTATTATTTATATCAAATTGAGCCGATTGATTTGCGTTAAACACACACAATGATTTTCAAATATCTGTTAATGATAGTAATTTTGTCATAAATGGTATGTTCTGTTAAAGAGAGGAAGCGCTAAAAAATTTAATGCTCTTAATATTTTTCAAGATTTTATGAAGCACACGTTTGGAAAATGAGAACATAAAAGATTTGAGATCCAAACTATAATTAATATCCATTGATGATTTTTTTTTCTTCCTTGTCTGCTTGTTTTTATTCTAATTCTCTCGATTCTTCATGTCTCTCATTTCGTGCTTCTTATTTTTTAATAGAATTAATATTTGTCTCGTTAATAATTTTATTTCAATTGTGCAAATAAGAAAGCCTTTACTGGATGTTGAAACGAGTTTCTTTTTCTCATTGCCATACTGTCAAATTCTTACAGATTCAACAGAAAAGAAGTAGCGAAAAATATTTTCCCATAATTTTCAATTCATGCTTTTGCAGAATAAGGCAAGTACCAGTCGTCGTTCAAGGCATCTTATTACATTAAATCAATGTAATCGTATTTATTCCTTAAATGTCGCGAAGTACAATCAGAAATAATGTCACGCGATAATGTGCATTTCCAATGAGAAATGATGCAAGAATTGTTAAGGAGAAAAAAATCTTTGGAATCATGCAACATATTGCACTGCCTGTGCACCATTGATTGAACGTAAACATGTCTAACAAATAAATACAGCATCAATTATGGCATCGAGTGAATTTTTCCTTATCAATTTGGTCAAGACGTGTTTTCTGCTTCTCGTCATTTCATGTACCGTCTGCATACCTTAATTATTGCGCGACATGTGACTTTTATGGAAAGTCAACCGTTAAAATTAATTTAAATTAAGTTTATGTTTTTGAAATTAAAAAATTCGTTATATATTTAAAATTTTCTGCTACAAAATGCGCTCAATTAATTTAAATGACAATTCCAACTTGTGCCTCTTTCATGTACGTGAGAGCACTTCAATGCTGCGAATACTCAAAGCATCATTAATAATTAAATGCACAAAAAAAGTGTCTTGTGTGAAAAATACGTTATTTAAAGTTCATTCAACTAATTGTGATTTATGAGATTAATGATGGGTAGGTGCTACATTTAGGAACTAGTGCTGGCAGTAGAGATTTAAATTTATCAAATCATAACTTACTAAGTGAGAATTTACTAAATAAAGCATGATAAGAATCATAATTGATATAAATTTTATCGCATAAAGGAACATGTGTGAAGGCTAGGTAGGAACTGTTTGCTGTGCATTTCGCGAAAGATATAGTTTATCTGTATGTCTGTCTGTATAAAGTATACAGAGATAGATCGATTTCTTTTTATTGTTGATATCTTCAAATGTGTTGGAACCGCAGACGACTGGCGCTTAAATGTTTTTCTTTCAAACTTGACAGCTTTTCATGGAACTTTATGCCAATTTTCATGATGCATTATTTGAAATATCTTGTCAAATTCAATTCCTTAGTTCTTTAAACTTGTCGAATTTATTTCAACATTTCTGATCATGCTACACATTTAAAGGCAGGCATTTGATCATTTCGTTCCGTACACAAAAACTTGTTTTGGAGAAGAAAAAAAAAATAAAATTGGCGACAGAAATATGAGATTGCATATTTCAAAGATATTCAGTTATCAAATTTTTATGCATCCACAAATCATAGATGAATTATGTTGCTATCAAGTGCTCTTACCTTTTTCGTCTGCCTCAAATGACATTATACCTCGGAAAATCAGCAAAAACTTCACTATGATAAAACTGAACTGTTTCATTTTCCACTTAATTCCACCACAATATCAACAGAACAGACAGGAGTAAGAAGAAGACATTCAAGATACAATTTATCGTTGATCTTGTGTATAATTTTGAAGTTTTAGTAAAAGAATTCTAGTTAATTTAAGAATTTAAAGTTCTTAGCATTTTATTATTATTTCAGCTCAGATGGATCATTAAATCTTATGACAAAAAGTTTATTGGAATTTTACTTCTTAGCCTTCTTTGGGCCTGCAATTCCAGCGGGTTTCTTATCGACTGGCTTTTTGTCTCCTGTTTTCTTGTCTCCCTTCTTATCAGTTTTTTGTGCCTTATCACCTTTTCCTGCTTTTGGAGCTGCTGCTGGTGTTGGCTTTACTGGGGCTTTTTGTTGTACTTTTGGCTTCAATACTTTAACAGTTGAAGCTTGGGCAGCCTTCAATACCTTTACTACCTTCTGTTCATCAATAAGGAAAGCACGAATGATACGTTCACGGAGAGCCTTGTGACTGAGAACACCACCATAAGCACGTCTAACGGTCTTCAAACGTTTTGACATACGAGGACGTTCGCTGGGTCTTGAAGGTGTAATTCCATGAAGCTTCTCTTTTGTGACAGCACATCTTGGGACACTACGCTTTTTCTTTATATAAAGATATACGAGACGCCCTCCTGGAGTACGAACACTACAATGACAAGGACATTTTATTAATTATAGCTGTGCAATCGCTAATTCAGCGTATTTATTTTTTATCTCTATAACCTAAAACACTTTGTTTTGATTTTTCTTTTGTTATTTTTGATTAATTAAACTACTTTTTTTGACAACTGGATGTTCTTAATCAGTTTCATATACTTGGTTTATAATTGTTGGAGCATAAATTTAGTGATCCAAACAATAGAAATTAACATTCTTGTGATTTCTCTAAAAAATTAATTATACTCGAAATTTTACTTACATTCGTCGCTTGTTGGATTTTGTGTTGTACGACAATCGTCGTCTGAGCGTTAATCGTTGAACCATTGTTTACCTAAAATGAGAAATTCAATCAGCATTGAATCCAGCAGTAAATCCAAAAAAATATTAATTTAAAATTAAATTGCAAAAATTCTAAACACAGAATCTTTTCAGTCATTTTTCACTTAAAATACAGCTTTTTGTACTGTAATTAAGACAGAATTCGATAGATACAATGTTCAACTATTGATATTCTTGCAATTTAACTTAATTAATAGCGTATTTCACTGTGAAATTTAATTAAATTTACCAAAAATTCAAAAAAACGTGGAATCAAATAAACGCACGTTCAGAAAAAGAAAGATAGAGAGCGCTGCTTTCGATAATTTCGGGGTAAGAAACTATTCATGCTATGTTGTTCAAGTAAGAAAGTCCTTGAAATTTATCGATTCAATTTTGCAGCATAATCTGTTCCTGCATATCTGATTTATGTTTTCATTGATTATCGAGAATTCATGGCAATGACATTCACTGGATCTAATTTTTAAACAACTACTTTTTCTTTTATTTCATAATCTTGTTAATACATTTCCATTTAATAACGTTTTTGATCATAATCGGAAATAATCTATAGATTTTTCATGTATAATTAACTTTTTTTAAACTGTGATCGTGAAATGTAAACTTTTTAAAAGCACTGATCCTTCACATTCTCCTCTATGACCATTATTTGCTTTGCTTATCTCTCGGCTATAACATAGAAATGCATAGTCTTCGTATGTGGTATATACTACATACTGACTAATGTTTATTTTGGTATATATGCTGGCGACGACTGACTGAGGAGAAGGTGAATGAAAATTTTGGTTGGTGACAAAAATATATAGTTCCTTGTTTGAAAATGCATTACATCTTTGTTATTAGTTATTAGGGCAGAAATTGCTTATTATGAATCATTTATGTCTATTCTAAATCATCATTAGTACTTTCAGCAAGCTTCAATCCCGGTGTTGTTGATGATGTTTGTGTTACAATTTCCGATTGAAATTCTCTCATACGATGAATGAGTAAAGTGAACACTTCGGCTGGAAGAGTTTGTTGTAGAACTTGTAAAAGTTGTGTCGGTTGCCCACACACGATTACAGCATTAGCAAGATGCTCAACACCATTATTAATATCTCCTTGTGAGATAAGTGCTTCACCCATCTGAATTTCGTGAAGGAAGTACCTAAAATATGCAAAAGGAAATATATCAAGATTTGTTGGAACGATGTCAAGGATAGAAATACCTTTGAACTGCCTCATGATCTGTTAAATCGGGCATCTTATTCTTATTCTTTTTCACACTACGCTTCTCTCGATCTTGTCGTTTCTCATGGAGCTTCTTTTTGAAATCTTTGGCACTTCGACGCTTATGATCAAAATAGATACAGTATCCTAAGAACAGAGCTCCAGCCACTCCAGCCACAATCGTTGATTTTCCTATATTTGTAAGGCTATCCATTTTTCTCTTGTATTGATAGAATTTTTCCTCCTTCTTTAGACACTTTCCACCCGACGATTCGATTTAAAAGTACTATTTAATGTTAATATTAGTGAAAAACTTGAGAATTTTCAACTGAGATGTACCAGAATTCGATATTTTCTTAATTAAACTTTGCGCTGGATTTTTAAAGTCTAAAAAAATTCTGCTCCTCGATTTGGGGTGTGCAAGAATGTTACGTAATTGAATCGTGAAATGCACTTTTACGTACGTAAAATTTGAATCTGAAATTAACTGTCATTTTCTTACATAGACTCTGTGACTGATAACTTAATGTTGTATCTAGTTATTTGTGATCTTAGTTTAATGAAAGTGAAGATAATTTAATCTATGAATCATTCTGAAAACAGTTGATGATTTTTTCACAAACTGTTCTTGGAAATTGCAGGCAAATAATTATAATTTATAGTTACGGTAAGGCTTATCAGTCTGAAAATTCTCTAATCAAGATAAAGTTGAAAGTTTTTATCAAACACGTGGTTAAGTTTTAAATTTTGTACAACGCACGTGGGATGTTTTTAAATAAAAACTTGCAGATCAATTTATTTTTTATTGCCTTATTTGACATACATAGACATGCACAAAACTTTCTCTCTTAAATATAAATACTATGGACCGTTTGGTGGAGGTGCTGTGAAATCTTCATTCAATGGCTTGCATTCTTCGTTCCAATCTTGCGGGATATTTTCTTTAAGTAGTTCCTCTAAGCGGCTTAATTCACAAAATTGACTGCAACCAGGAATTGTCAAAGAAATCAGATCATTCTTATTAGAATTCTTCAAAAAGATTTCAACTCCATAAGTTCCATCGACTTTGTTTTGTGAGAATTCTAAAATACCTGTTACTCCTAATAAAAAAAGAACAATAAGAAATTGATGAATAGAAACGTGATTTTTGAATAATAAATGAGCAGCACTACCATAATCAGGAAATTGTTGTGCCCAGACGTTGAAAGCAGACAAAATATTCGTAACACTTGAGTCATGACCAGCATATAGAAATATTTTCTGGTTAATTTTCTTATTGTTCCAATCGCTTATTGCTTTTTTGAGAAAGACACCGCCTTTAAGTCTCTTCAATATGCTGTTGTATGCATTAAAAACGTAGCTCTTATCGGTCAAATCTTGCAGTTTTTCTGGAAAGTATTGATCAGTCCATTTTGGAAGCTGCAAACCGAATTCTCTCTATAATAAAGAAAAGTGAATGGAATTAAACATTTTGCTTTCAAATCATGTTTGTCTTCAAAAGGTCACAAGTCAAATCACAAGTTTTTGGATGCTACATGGAGGATTAAGGTATGTGGACTGTAACGGAAATATTCATCAACAATCCCTCTCAAGTTATTGTTAAGTGATTATTGCCATTGAATGGCATGTGATATAAAATATCGAATATCAAGTTTTAATTGCCAAAAAAAAATAATTTTTGACAAATTTCTGCATACCTCAGCCTTTAAAGTGCTGTAAAGAGACTGAATGTCGTCAGGTGTTGTAATGCTTAATCCGGTGATATTAGAGAGTTCTTCATACAATTGAGCATAATAATCAGCACATTTAATGACTTCACTTTCTTCACTCATGACTCTATCAAGTTCCTCGTGATAACGTGGACAATTTTTTCTGACTAGTAACAAGGTGTCATCATTAAGTTCTTGATAATTGTATGGAATTGGTTGCCAATTTAAATTCTCATTCCATTCTAATGGGGTATTTTTTGGTGGATAGAGTGCTGCTAAGACTAGTTGTAGTGACATTTTGGTTCTGGAAACACCTGTTGATTGAGCATAAATTTCCTATAATAAAAAAATGAGCGCTTCAATAAATTTTAACAGAAAATAATTAATTTGCAGCTTTACATTGAGATTCAAGGTTTTGCTTAAGAAAGTGTGATATCTTTGCCTTAAAAAACTGCCTAGCTCGTACATTTGAAGCTTTCCTCTCTAAATTTATTGAAATTAAGTTTTAATTAATTTGGTTTGTTAATTATGTCTTGTTGTAACTTTACATTTGTCAGTTGACCCCATCCATAAGGTTCAAAAGTCTCATTGATATAGATATCATTTGGATACGTGTCAGCTGGAGTTCTAGCACCATGTCGGAAGATCTGAATAAAAGTTTTAATTAAAACTGATTAATAATTTTTTTTGAGGCTGTTGCTTGCATTGGCTTTACGCTTAATCAAGATCCGAAAAGTTGATTTCTAAGCACACACAGAATTTCACTGTCTAGAATTTTGCCACGTTAAAATTTTAGCAAGTCACGGATAATTAGCAACAACCAGATTGAGATAATTAAGAATCAAGAGAACTTACAACGTGTACGAGCTTCAAATCGAGATGATTGTTGACTCTTAAACTTTCAGCAGAACTGTGTGGAAGTTTACTTGAACTTGACGAATTAATAACCAGAATTAGGAAGAACAATATGACCATTGTAAGACCGAATGACACAAACACTTTTCGCTTTCTGAGTCTTGTGAACAATTCATTTTGTAAGCACGACATAATGCATTATTTAAAGGAAAATAAAATTCCAGTTCATGTAAATTTACTTTATTTTATGACTTGAAAATAATTCTTTTATTATCAGTATATTTTTTATTGGAACCGCCGGTAAATTCGATGATAGTGTCAAAAACAACTTTTATCACAAAACACACACACAAACGTGAGGAAATAAAAATTACAAAAATATTTGTCTGACAGATATGACACAATAAATAATAGGAACGGTGTAACTTTATTCCAATTATAATAGAACAATGCCTCAATAAATTTCACTTCTGCATGGCAAATAAAAATTGTGCCTTAAAAAAAAATCTCAACCAAAAATTAATAAAAACGCAGTTTCACAACAGCTTCTTACAAAAGATATAAACACACTAAAGCTCACTGCTCATTTGAAAAGCATTCAAAGGCTTTTATATAAAAAGAATTAGTCACATTTCAATTAAGTTAATAAATTTATAAAGAAAGTGAGTGCCTTATTTTATGAAGGATGATACTAATCGCTTAGGTACATCTAAAAGATTATAATATTTGTTCATCATATAAATATTAAATGTCTTACTTAGAGGACATAAAAAGACAATAAAATTGCGTAATTATTTATTAAAATAAATGGAAGCATGGCACAAATATCAAACTGATATTTTAAGATTGTAGATTTAAATCTGTCGACTTCAGTCGACATTAAACTTAAATACTTGAGTTTCAAAGAATCTATGTCCCCCTACTTGGTGCTACAAAATAAAAATCCTCAACTGATTTTTAATTATTCTTTAGTTTGCTCTCGAAGTATCAAGACTGAAATAAAGTACATACAGGCTTTTTATATTAATTTAAATAGACTTTAAATTTAACAATCATATTATTAGCATCAACAATCCAAATATAAAAGGTAGGCATATTCAACATAATACATAATAAGCATCAAAATTGTCAAGTTTGTGACTCTTTGTTTATAAACAATTTTCTTTGTTTCCAGAAATAAACATGAAGTTCATCATTTTGTGTCTACTGCTCGTAGAATTATGCTTTGCTACGACATTTTTCGACTTGGCTAAAGAAGAATGGAATGAATTTAAGGTGAGTAAATGCTTCAAAAAGTTTAATTTCGTTTGCCATTAGTCATTTTCTACCTGCGTAAATTCTCTTGTTATTATGCTGCTTGCTTGATATTACTGTATATGTGTGTGAGATGATTATTGCGACGAACTTTTTTATTTGTCAAAATAACCGATCAGTGCGAATAACAAATACTACGTAAGGTCATAATTTAAATAAATTTCCTACTGCCCTAAATATCATCTCTACAGTTTGGTCATGTAATCATCTTATCTAACTCGAAATATACTTATCAAAATTGCTTATTCAGGACGTAATTGATCGCAATAGAAATGAATTACCATTTCACAGACAAACTTGATAAGAACTCGAAATGAATGCAAAACGAAAAGAATATCCCAGTTTTTTACATGTTATTCTCACTAATCTAGCATATTTCCTTATCAAATCGTTGGCACTAATAACATTTTGTACAAAATAATGTCAAATGAATCATCGTGAAATTGTAAGGGAAATTGAGAATACGGGTCATATTTAATAATGGCTGAAAAATTGATGATCACATGAACGGACATGAACAAAAGAAGGAACATGAAAAAAATAACAAACTGAGTCATAAAAACTACACAAACACATACAGAAAGAACAGAAAAATAACATCAGCTGTTTTGTCGCGCGTTGAACCTTGAAAATCTTCTATTACAATTTTTAAGAATAGCAAGAAAGAGAACTGCAAACGTAGAACTCTACTATCTGAAACTTTATATATTGATTGAACTCGATTTAATTTTTTATTGTAATCATTATCTCGGGACAATTGCGTTTCTGAGCTTTACATCTTCCTATATACAAAGCAACCGGTTTTTCCTTGACTTTAAATTTACAGTAAATCTGAATGATGCAATAAGCGGTCAATTTTTCGAGGACCCAAATTTCTTTGTCTCCAAAATTTTGATTACTTGACCTCAAAAATATATTGAGCATATTTCAAGCATTATTCAGACATTATTGATTCATTGAAATACAAATAGTTTATTATAAAGCCAGACTATTGATAATAGCAATTAAACAAACATTGATTCATTTAGATCTGGTTTACAGGATCAAATTACTTATCACAATGACTAATCATTAATTCCTTTGTTTCTAATGTAGGCAACTCATGGAAAGACTTATGAAGATCCATCAGAGGAAAAACTTCGCCTCAAAATTTACATTGATAACCGTCACAAGATTGCAAAGCACAATACACGCTTTTATGCCAATGAAGTGCCATATAAACTAAAGCTTAACAAATATGCTGATATGTTACATTCTGAATTCGTAAGAACATTCAACGGATTTAATCGCTCAACAGCAGTCAGTTCTAATTCAGTCTACAAAAACTTTGCTAAAATTGAAGAACCAGTGACATTTATTGGCGCAGAAAATGTTGTTTTACCAACATCAGTTGATTGGAGACCAAAAGGCGCTGTAACTCCTATTAAAGATCAAGGACATTGTGGAAGTTGCTGGAGTTTCAGTGCAACTGGTGCATTAGAAGGTCAGCATTTCCGTAAGACTGGACAACTTGTTTCACTTTCCGAACAAAACTTAGTCGATTGCTCAGGATCATATGGCAATAATGGATGCAACGGAGGTCTTATGGATAATGCATTCCAATATATTAAAGATAATGGTGGTATTGATACTGAATCAACATATCCATATGAAGGAATTGATGACACATGCCACTTTGTTAAGAAAAATGTTGGAGCTACAGATAAAGGATTTGTCGATATTCCACAAGGCGATGAGGAAGCAATGAAGAAAGCCGTTGCAACAATCGGTCCAGTTTCAGTTGCTATTGATGCATCACACGAATCATTCCAATTCTATTCTGAGGGCGTTTATTATGAACCACAATGTGATAGCGAACAATTAGATCACGGAGTTTTAGTTGTTGGATATGGAACTGATGAAACAACCAAGGAAGATTACTGGGTTGTCAAAAATAGCTGGGGAACAAGCTGGGGTGATAAGGGATACATCAGAATGGCACGTAATAGAAAGAATCATTGTGGAATTGCCACTGCATCAAGCTATCCATTAGTTTAAGCAAGAAATCATTTTTCGAGTCATATAATTTGATTTTTAATTAACTGATTTTTGTGTGATTTTTATTAGATATTCTCTCTTGATTTTTATATTCTTCTCATTCCTATTTCTTTTCTTTATATTGATTATAAGAAATATAATTCTTAGATTACCAAAATAAATGAATAATAAATCGACAAATGAATAAAATTGCATTTATTTTATTTCCTTAAATAATCATAGACCCAGACTCAAATTAGAATCTTTTTGTATTTATAAAGTTTCAGAACGTTTCAGTGTTTGTTTTCACTATGAAATGAAAATAATGAAAATTCAATGAATTGAATTAACTTTCTTTCGAAAGATTTTCAGAATCCGTTAATAATTGAGAATCACATTTTAAATTGGGAGAAGCCATGCTATCAGAATCATAAAATCTAATCATAACGGTGAGTTTAAATTTGAAATTATAAAAACAACGTAACGGGTTAAAATAAATTTGAATTTGTAAACAAAAAAAAATCAATTTTTAATTCATTCCTTAATTCAAAGACTTTTGAGATGAATCAGAAGGTATTTGTGGAACTTAAAATCTGTCGGGGATGCTTAAATTGTAATACTAAACTAATAGAACCGGATGAGGATATTTTAAAGAATTTTAGTTTCTTATTAAATGAGGTAAATGATTTTTTATGCTAGATTCCTTTTGTGCCTGCCTGTATCTAGCTATTACATTTTTTTCATTCTAGCAATCATCATCGTCGTCTAATATTCTACCAAAAACGTTCTGTGAGAAGTGCATAACTAAGATACAGGTGTCATCAAGATTTAAACGTCAAAGTATAGAGAGCGAGAAGTACTTGCTTACCTTTTTGTCAAAGATTAATCTAGAGTTTACGACATCACTGTCTAATTTATCGAGGAACCAGCAACAAGATAATCAAGAGGATCTAGACTTCATTTTACAAGATGAAACAATTGAGCATGATTCGAAATCACAAGAACCAGAAATACAACAACAACATCCAGAACCAAAAATGTCAACATCATTTACACTCAAAGAGGAACCAAACAAATCCACGATTAAGCTAAATCAATCGCCTATAAAGATTAATGAAAAATTGCCAATTAAAATGATTGAGAAGACACCTAAAACACAGCAAATTGTCACTATTGAGAAAGTTCTCGAGCCATCATCACATTCCGTGACTGCCCATCTGGATTCATCTGATATGTATGTAGATGATGATGAACAGCATATTGAGGAAGACGATAATATATTTGACGATAAAGAGATTTATGATATAATGGAAATCGATGGAAATTATGTGGACGAAGCAGGAAATCCAATACTCGAGAGCAGTAATGGCGAGAGTTGCCAGGAAGATGATGAAGGTGGTGAATTTATTCTTGTTAATTATAAATCATCAGAAGACTTATCAACAGACAAAGATCAACAGTTTATTGTAGAGGAAATGTATAGCTCACAAATGATTGATGAGAAGCCTCTTCGAAAGAAGCACATGAAACGAATGCCCAAAGAAATAATCGAGAGATATGCTCAATCGACTGATAATAACCAGCACATATGTACGAAATGTGTTAAAGTATTCTCAACCAGAACTAATCTAATAAGACACATCCAGAGTCACGATGGAAATAAGGTAATTAGAAGTTTACTAACTTCGTCTAGCTTCACTAGCTTTGCTAAGCTTTGTTACTTCTATTCTAATAAGTTCTTAATTGTAGCCATATGTTTGCAATGTCTGTCAAAAAGGATTTACTCAGTCTGGTAGTTTAAAGCAGCATATGTATATACACAGTGGACAGCGACCTTACAAATGTACATTCTGCGACCGAGCATTTACACAAGGAAAGACTTTAAAGTTCCATTTGAGGAAACATATGGACGAGAAGCCATTCATTTGTTCTGAATGTAATGGAGCATTTCGACAACGGGATGGTTTAAAGAGGCATCTCAAGACAAGGCACAACATTGAACTGAAGTATGAACGTCCAAATCAATTGGATGACAAAATTATAGCTTACGTGAATATGGATGATAAGTCACAGTCCGACGAGAAGAGTGAGATTTTAGAGATAATTGAAGAAAATGAAAATAAGCAGATGTAAATGCAATACTACTAGTATTATAGTTTATTAATTAAGGAACATCTCATCTTACAATAATAGATTAAATTTCCTTCTTAATTCAAATAAAATTATGGCTAATGCATTTGAAATGTTGAGACTATTTGCAGTGCTTTCAATTGGAATATTGACTACCTTCCAATCTCTTGTTTTTGCAAATGATAAAGCTTCTTTGCTGATTCCTTGTGATTCACCTCCGACAATTACACAAAACTGACCTTTATTCGTTATTAATTCGTCGGGTATTTTATCATAATCTAGCACGTTCTCAGATTTATATCTACTTAAATTATTATCAGCTATTAATACAAGATCATCAGACCCAATTTTTTGATCCATTTCCTCCCACGATAATTGTGTCTGAGTTGGAAGATGAAAGACTGATCCAGAACTTCCTCGTATGCTTTTTGTATCCCAAATGTCGACATTACCTTTTGGAAGAAGTAATTCCGATACAGGAAGGCTATTACAGACTCTAATGATTGCTCCAATGTTATTTGGTTCTTTACATCCATCAGAAATGACTGTGATTGGAAGAGCATTAGACTTTTTTGGAATTAATTGCGGTTTATCAAAAATTGCTATTAATCCAGGGCATGTTGTTAGTGCTGAATAAAATGTCAAGTCCGTTTGTGGAACTTTTAAATTCTCTATTGATTTGACTACATTATTTCCAACTATTTTAGCTATATCCTTATAAAAATCATTCAATTTCCGGATATCGCTAAATATAAATTTATCTGGCTTCAAATGAGCTTTTAATGCTTCCTTAATCAAAACATTTCCTTCAATAATAATCTTCTGATCTCTTTGCTTTCGTTTCTTGCTTTTGATGGTTAATATTGTCTCTGACAAATCTCGATCATTTAATTTAAGCTTTTTAAACTGTATGCCACTGTCTACATCATTAATTTCTGGAGAACTAGCTAATTGTGCCTTATTAAAATTATATGCACAATTTGCTATTGCTCTAGTTATAGATGAATTAAATATAAATTTGTTCAGCATGTCTGATATTGTTTATGGGCGATTCTACATGACGCACACTGTCGGTAATTTTATTCTAGAACAATTTTTGTGTCGTTATGATGATTAAATCTGACACGTATCTTATAATCCAAATTAGTTCAAATATGAATTCTGTGCTTATTGATTACATGTCAAGTTAAATTTGGGCATAGAAATTTGGATGACAGTAGTATCATAAAAGCAACGGTTTTTTGATATTCAAATATTAACGGCATTTTTAAATTTGAAAATACTGACTTATCCAATATCAATGATGAAATTTTTTAAAAAAGAAAAATTAATTTAACAAAGAAACCAGACAAGTTTTATTGACAAATATGTGAAATTCTGATTTCCAAATTAATAGCTATCAATTATCAAAAAAACTATAAATCTCCATGTGCTCACAATAAATCGAAGATTAATTAGCCTATTCCACGCGAAATACACAACAAACACAACCGTCACATTAAGTTTGAATTGAAATAAAGTATAGCTTTGAAGCAACGATTTAACAACAAGAAAAATTACGAAGCTTGTTTTTCAAAACAATCACTTTGTCGAATCGCAAAACAGTGAATTTAATAACTTTGCCTGGTTAAATCTGGGATTAAATTATATAAGAATACAACAAAATAAGTAAACTATAAGTGAGAAGTGAATTGAAGATGAATTAGTGCAATTTTAGGATTTAATGATGGAAATTTGAAGAAGTGAATTAAGGAAATCTGCAACTTGTTCCTCGGAATATTTTGAAAAGATTAAAAATAATTATCAAAAGATAATTTTAACTGGATATCTACTGTGTATTCTAAAATATGTCGATGTGATTTTGTTATTTGAGTCTTAAATATTATACAGTGCATGAAATTAGCTGTTAAAAAAGGAGCGATAACCGAGAAAATTGCATTGGAAAATTTGTAGAAAATTTTCATCTATAAAAAAGAAAAGAAAGAAAAAAAATTTTAATGGCTTCAAGACAAAATTATCCGTCAGTGTTAAGTAGTAATTCAACAGCAAATGTTAAGGAGAAGAGCAGTCACAGTAGTAATAAGACGGAAACATCAAAATTGAAACATGGTAAAGTAATCCATAAATTTACGAGTGAAAGTTATATGCGACTAATTAATGAAAAATCGGGTGCACTAATTAATATAGATAAGAATTCATCGTCATCGTCGTCATCATCAGGACACATACCGCTGAGTAGTAGTAATACCATCATCAATAATATGTCAAAAAGGAAAGGTACATCATTTCAGATTACGTCTGTATCTGTTAGTTCTGCAAATTCGCACCATCATTCGTCTTCGTCGCAACAAGTCCAGCGTAACAGTACAGATAACAATAACGGTGACGATTCTGCTGATGATTTAGATGATTCACATACTGATGATAACATAAGTCGAATTACAGATTATGAGACACCTAGCATCTCGGAGACGTTCAGCGGTGAAGATGTCTTCTTTGCCCAACAAAATGCATTTGGTACAGCCCCAGTCATCCCAACTAGTTCTCAATACGGCCTTGCCATTGTCGGACCCGATCATCATGGCACAGATGTTCATGTAAGTGTAAGTGATGCTGGAATCAATATAATGGGACCTATTTCTAGCAAACAAGATCCTGATCATAAGAACGAGAGATTTAAAGTTGTCAAAATTGAGAGTACTGAGCCATTTAAGCGAGGACGATGGATGTGTATGGACTATCTTGATCATACGACACTCCAAGATGACGGAATTGACGGTAAGGATGGCGATGAAAACATGAAAAACGAGCATCACGAAGCAATCGTTGGACCACGAGTATTGATTATGAATAATGGCGAAATTGAACATATTATAAGTGACAACGAAGACCTGGATCATGAAGTTAATAAAATCAATAGTAAGCAACAACTGTTTTATAATCATCAAGATGTTACGCAAAATACACATCAAAACACTAGTCATCCACAAACAATGACATCTATTCCCACTTACATTGATCATTCTTCTTCTACAACAACCAACAACAACAACAATAATATTGTTCACAGTATGCCGCAACGACAACTTGAGCAACTTTTAACTCAAGAAAAACAACTTACATTACATTTATCGCATGATAATAACAATACTAACTCATCGGAACATGCTGGAATCGCTACACTAAATGGTCCGCATCAAAGTGAAATGTTACCACAATCGTCTAATGAAAATAATATTAATAGCAACAATAACACATCACAGCAGCAACAGTCAATTGTAAATCAACAACATTTTATGGAGCATCATCAACATGCTCAGACAATGACTCAAGAGATGATTCATAGCATGGTGCATTCACACGATCAACAAAATCATCTCCAAGGATTAACGTTACCGACTAATATATTAATGCAGAATATAAGTCACGAACATCATCAGCAACAATCTCAATTGAACAGTCCAAATTCTTCCAATGCTCTTCCGTTATCTTCAATTCCAACTCAAAATATGTCTAACATCAATGTCACAGAGAATGCATCATTAACTAGCGCCGAAAATGAGTTTAGTAATAACAATTGTAGTAATATTAATAGTAATAACCAAGATAATATGACGAACCAGTTTCAAGCATCTCAAGTTGTAACTGGTGATAGAATCCAACAACAAAGTGAATCTGACAACCAACAACAAACGGGAAATTTAGTAACAAACGAAATTAACTTAAGTAATAATAGTGATAGTAATAATAACATAACAGTTAGCAATGATGGAACTCAGCAAAATGCATCTTCTCCGTCTAGTTCCGCCGGTATTGGAACTGTCGTTGAGGGTGCAGCTGGCATCGATATCAGTGAAAGTGCTTCAAATAATGTGAATAGTGGCAATAATAATAGTAATGCAACTGGTGGAATCGATGATGGACAAGCAATAAGCGAGGATAATGAAAGGTGAGCTTTTTATTATTGATTTTTTGTTTTTATTATCAATTCCATACTCTCTTATTTTTTATTGTTTTATTATATTTTCTTTATCGTAATTTTCCGCACACGTTTTTCTTTAATTTTTCAAAAAGTGCACCACCTGATACAATTTTTTTTTTGTTTTATTTATTTTTCAATATATTTGGTTCTAAAAAACACAATGCACAAAGATCTTTGCTTCAAGTCTACACACATAGCATAGCAGCAAAAAAAAATCATTGATTTTTTACATTCTTCTTTTTTTTGCAAAAAATTTCTCCTTTCGTTCCATATTATAGCAAAAAAAAATATCGCATTGTGTGACTCACCCACATTCATTTCAAATCCATTCCCAATAATAATAAAAAGAATAATATCTCGTCTCGTTTAATGTCATTTTTTGTATGTTAGTAATCCATAACAAAGAATGTTGAGAAAGAAACTATCTAGAGCACTATTATGCATAGAATGCTCGAAGGCAAAGTTCAAACATATTTCAAAGTCAAGGCAAGACAGTCTACATGACTATGTACTTATTACGAAACTATTACAGCATAAAAATATGATAAACATGTTTTATTTATCTTTCTCTTTTTCATTTTCTCACTCTCACGCGACATTATGAGGAATTCATATGACGTCACATAATTTAAATAAATTTGTTTACTTAGAGTTCAACAATTGAATGAATGCCTGCCTGCCTTTACTTTTCACATTTATATATTTGTGCATATTAGAATAAATGTATACAAAGTTACGATCTTCTTATAATTTTTTAAGCGCATTTTCGATCACTTTTTCTGGGTTCTTTGGATCTTTCCTGTTAACAACTTCTTCCTTTTATGTTCCATTTTTGTCCATATAATTCTAACCAACTTGGGTCATACTTAATTTTGGGAAATATTCTTTGCGGTTGTTCACTAACGACGTTCATCAAAAATTGGGTTATAAGCCACTGTGTAGGAATTTTAGTAGATAGCTGATTCTCAATATTGGAATAGATTTGAAAACTAAACTCGTTTTGTGTAGATTTGATGCGATTTAAACTCGCTGCTCAACTTGATGAACGCCATTCGTGAAGAACCCTATATAATGAGGTCCCCAGAACTGCGTTCTAATCATTCGAATAATATTTGCGACATTCCATACTAATGATTGAATTTCTTTGCTTAAATTAAATGCCATAAATTGTTCAATTATTCTCTATCTACGAGACCTTTTTCTTCTATCATCAATTTCGTGTGTGAAAAGAGTTATTCGGGCCGTGTCAGTCAGATAACGTGAGCAATTGTGATGAATTTAATAAATTAAACTTTTTTTTTGTTAATTTAATTTATGCAATATCTACAATGATGATGTTATTGCTAGTATCACATCAGTTTATCCATATTTTTATTCGCGGGAGGACGTGAGACTTCACAGTTTTAAGTCAATTATTATTTTGTCTCTTAAATGTATTATATAGATATGGTCGATTCAGTTTTTAAACAATGTTACGGTATAGAATCGTCATTTGAATGCTAACAGGCATTCAGTAAGATATTTCATATCATCTGCATTGTGAGATTTTTCGTCTCAAATTTCGCAATGAAAAATGAAAAAAGTAAATAATTACGATTTAGATGCGAGTTTTTCATTCGATCATACGTCAATATATTTTTAGATAACGTTTATGTTTATTGAATCGTGTGTGCAATAATTATTGCTTAACAGTACATTTGGTTAACCCATATTTCAAAAGAGCGATTGATTCGAAAAAATAAAAAAAAATCATTCGATTCCACAAAGAAATTGATGTTCTCGACTTGATAAGATATGACAGTATTAAATGACAATCAATCCGCGTTTTTGTGTGTTTATTAAAAAAGATTAAAAGAAAAAAAAATGAGTTTTAGTAAAAATGACAGTTTTATTCGCAAAAAACCATCAAATCCGATTGATGTCAATCGAAGGCATGCACAGAGTTATCAGAGAAGGTATTTCAAATATTTTTATACTCGACCGCACCTGATTGTAAATATTTCAAACTCATTTCATTCTGCGTAGTACATTTTTTGTGGTGCTACACTAATTTTAATTAATCATTTAAAACATAATATTAAGAAGACAATAGCTGACATTGACCTTTCTTATTCACGTCTTCCGCTTTCATAATCAATTTTACACTTGAATTTTTGTTTTTTTTTTTCATCATCATCATGTGTAAACTCTTGCTCATGCATAAAATAACGTCAAAAAATTTTCTTTCTCTGTGTACTGTATCTGTTCTAATAAAAGCAACAAGAGAAGAAAAAAAAATGGTTTGTGTCTAGGATATGTATAAGCACACATTAGTACTAAAGTTTCATGATCATATGTGTCCACAATATTCTATGACAAATAATTTGTTTTATTTACAATGATTTTTGAGATATACCTGTATGATTTATTGTAGAGAGCAGGGGTGTAGGTAGAAATTTAAAGGGGGAGGGAAGGGGGAGGGGCTATGATAAATTTAAAAAGCGAAGATTTGTAAACTAGAGTTAAAATTTCTTTATTTCATGGGTTTGTTTTTTTAACCTCTCCTGACTACGTTCCTCTTAGGCATGGTGCTAGAGCAGAAATTTTTGAAAATCATTTAATGAAACATGTCATTGAACTTTATCCATACAAGTGTACAAAAACATTTTTTTCTATTCACAAATAAGTATAGATGAATAGCAAAAAAAAAACATAATTATGATTGACAGCTCTTTTTTATAATGTGGAACAAGGACAAGGCAGTTTTTATTCGCGAAACTAGTGAAAACTACGATAATAACGGGAATCATTTTTTTTTTTCTCAAATTAGTAACGAATTTCTAATTTTTTTTTTTATCCGATGCTACATAATGAATATTTGGGTTTCTATGAGTTGCTCTTTTACTTGCTAGCTTCACAAAGTAGATCAAAAAATTATATTTTTGGTGGTTTCTATTTTTTTTTGCGAACATAGATTGTGTTACATCTGTTGGATTTAATATTTTTAAGCCTGTCAAAAAATTTAATGTAAAAAAATGACGGAACTTGAATGATTGGTGTCATTTTTTTTAGCAAAAAGTGTTGCTTTGCTCATTACTCGTCTAAGTTTAGGATTATCTGACTAAATATAGGCACGAAAAATTCTATTTTTGCAAGAATCTTTACGGGTCATTCACGTATGACGTCCAATAACCAGTGAGTAATGGATAACATTAGAGATTAGAAGATTATAGAAGATGGATCATAAAAGTTTATTACTTTCCCACAATAGCTGATAAGCTGCTCATTGTAAATCTCGCTGACTCATAAGATCTTAATTAAATATAAATTGTTAATTACTTAAAATCAATTTTTAATGAATTCAATCTATGAATTTATGAATTTTGATACAAAAAATTGTGCTTATCATGCGATATTATTAACAAAACAATAGTGTACTACATACTTTGTATTTCGGTCTAATTTATTTTCCTCATTAAGATTTGAAATTGTGTATGTGAACTATTTTCTGCATATATAAGTAGAAAACCTACAAAAAAATTACTCTACAAAAATGTCATCGAACTATAATTTGATTACTCTTTTCATAGAAAATATTCCTAAGGCAATTCTAGGCGGTATCAAGTGCGTGACATGTGAAAAATGTCAAAACTTGTTTGTGTCTCTTGCAATGAGAGAGACAGAGATAGAGGAGGAATTTCCACATTATTTATTAAATAGAGTGTAGAAAGGTATTTTGAACTTTTGTTGTACATTTTCAGAGAAAATGAAAAAGCGTTTGAGAGCAACCTATTTAAATTAAACGATCGTGACGTTGTCACGGAGAGTAAAACAATAAAGCGTAAACTGAACTTAGATCTGTGCATATATGCTTCATGGAAAAATCCGGAGAGGAAATTTTTTTCAACTCAGTTTTGTGTTTATTTAGTTATCGATGTATAATTACAGCACACAAAAATCGTGTCACTTTGTAAATGCTTATATAAGGGGCTGTTCACTTATTACGTAACGCGAAAAAATGACTTCTTAGACCCCCCCCCCCCCCCCTCGTAACAAAATTTGTATGAAAAAAAAATTTCCTTGTTTGAACCGTAACAAAATCTTAGACCCCCCCTCCCCCTAAAAGCGTTACGTAATAAGTGAATGGCCCCTAAGCATAGCACAACATAATTTTTATGTTGTTCGAACACGGTAAATACATAAATTTTTCATTCCTTACTGATTTTGCAATGTAGCAATTGAGCATTGAAAGAATGGATTATTTGAAACAAATGCGCTTAGCGAAGAAAAAAAAAATATTATTCATGCACAATGTCAATAACTTCGATTCAAAACGACTTTACATTGAAAAAAAAACTTAACTTTTTGTTTAACCTTTAAATTTTAATGAACGAATGAATGGTAACATGCAAAAAAGAAGTACATATGAGCATTAATATTGATTATTAGTAACTAATAAGCAGTCATTAAATGAGATTTTACGTGTATGCATACATGGATAGACATAAACTTATGAAATCCAATTCTTTGTGACTATTACTCATAAATTAATCCCTACTATTTAATTCTCATTTTATTATATACCAAATCAATCCTTTAATAAAATTTTAATAAGAATCTCATTAATGCATTACATTCTCTCTTCCATTTATCTCTAAATCTCTCGATAACGATCATGTTACAGAATCAAATTATGTAATGACAAAAATATGAGCCGTCTCCATTATTTACCTCATCAGCACATAAAAGATAAACAAAGAATGATTGAACGTAGTGTAAAATGTAGTGATATTAATGGAATATTGACAATGATATCGGGCAATAGCAATAAAAGAAATTCGTATGAAATTTCGAGTCTGATGCCAGAAAAAATGGTTATAGATGCGGAACATAAAATAAAAATTTATTCAAACATAGAGACGGAAAAAGTAGGAAATAGTAAAAGTAATAATAATACAAATCTGTTGTTATTTGGTCAATATAGTAAAACGGCACCATCTATGACACAAAAAGTAAAGGAGAAAAAATGTATAGGCTGTACCCCTGGTGGTTTGGCAACGACAGCACTTACTATGAATTTATCGACAATAAGTCCTTTATGCACAAACGTTGGATGTATTGGCGCGAGTTGTAGTAAAGATGCTAATGCGAGTAGTCGCGTAAGCAGATCTGCTTCACCTGCACTTGGAAATACATCAGATAATCCCAGGTTCAGAATTGGTTACCTTAAAAAATTATTTTATTTTCTTTTAATTTTTGAATTCGTTTGGAAAATTGTTTTTTTATTTTTAATTGTCTTGATACTTTAGTTTTATTTGTAAGTGTCATTTTATAAAATGCTACCTCATGATTCAGACTCAAATTTACCATCATTACAACTCATTATGTCTAAACAGTCCTTTGGTGCTTGTGTTTTTACATTCATACATTTATACGATATTTAATGAATAATTGAGTGGCTTTCACCCGACTTTTTTTTTCATGTGGAGGCAGCCACATATCTTAGCAGTTCTTGTTTATGTGCGTAGTCTATAGTGCTTACTCATTTTTATTCCATTATATTAATATCAGAAGTTCAATGAAACGTTCTAACTATACATACATGCTATTTCATCATGAGAAAATTAATACTGTTGTTTTTTTGACAAGACATGTCAAGCCTTTCATTTCTATCTATGTCTTCTTAGAATTTTTGTTTTCTCCTTTCTCGCCTGTTCAGATCAGAAAGTATAAGTATGTAGGTTCCCATTTTGAATTTGAACTTTTTAAAATATTAACAAAAAAAACATAATGCTTAAATTGCTAGCACTTCAATGAAATGGCACAAATGAAAGGCAAAGAGAAAAAGTGCGTACGAAATTGAGGCTTCCAACTGCGATAGATACAATGAAAATTGTTTTTGTTATTTATTTTTTTTTTCTCTTCATTCAATGTGGTTTTGAAGTCATTAACACTTTTCAGTTTTGTTATTTGCGTGTATTTTGCGTAAAACATATTCCGTTGCTTCATTTCCATTTGATTTTTAGCGCATATTTCCTTGAATGTTTGGCTCCAGTGACGTTTATGATTAACATGGTGTTTGGTCGTTCATGTATTAGATTCACAATTGTCGTTGGAACCGTAGATTCATGACATGACAATACGTCCCTAAATCGTTAATTTGAAGATGAAATTTCGTCAATTGTCGACCTCGAATCCTAAATTTATAAGTATTGTTAATATTTGAGAGTCTTAAAATAGCTAAGAACAAACATTTCCTCAATATTGATTCGCAAAATTGCGCTAAAATGGAAAAACCACATAAATAAGCCAGATTTTCATTCGATCGACGCATAAACAAAAAGAAACTTTCTGATTTTGCATACCAGCTTCTTTTCGTACTCAATATTTTATTATTATAGTTACTCTCGAGTATTTCTTTCATTCATCTCTTAAGAGATATAAAGAGAAGGTACACAATATACTATTATTTCGCGTTTTTTGGGATGATGTCATGCTCTCAAAAATAATATACGTGTATATAAAAATAAAAAGTTCATCATATATTTTCGAATACTTCTTTATTGTCGTCATTCTTATAAATCGACCAAATGAAAGACATTGAAGAGCTTTAAACTTGTTTAATGAAGAAAAAAAGTAAACATTATAAGGTGATGACTTCTTTATAACATTCAAATTTGTCGGTCGTCTCTTTATCTCATTTTAAAAGTCAAGACATTACACACTCATTCTGTATTATCGTCAATCATACCACATTTATTTACAAAAATTATTCGTGAATTGTTTGTACTGTTTTTTTGGTTTGGATTTCATAGAAAAACATTTATTTTTAAAATTCTAAAACGATTGTTGATTTATTTGAATTTGACTTTACCTTGTTGCTTTAATTTAAGTTTTTATAGTCATTTAATTAAACCAATTGGAAGAAAATTTAAAGATTTTATTACAAATTGTACAGAGCTCAAAGTTGAATTGGACAAAACTTGTATCAAAATGCTTTAATTCGATCAGATTAATTCGCAATTATTGGATTCAACTCCTTTAACTTGTTTTAAAGATTTTGTGAAAATTTAATTTAACTTATAATAATTTTCCAAGTTTTGAAATAATCTAGCAGCACACTAGCGTGCAGCTTAACAGACGCTGCAATAATCTGATGAAAATTGTTTAAAGTCTAGAAAATTTTCTTCCAAGTGTAGAAATAAACATTGAAATTAATGTGAATAAAATTTTTGTTTTGCAAAACTCACCGAAAATGTAAACAGAATTGCTAACGAGTTTTGCAGAACAACTGTTTGATATGTTTATAATTTTCTTAACACTTATTTTTTGTTTCTTTAAATTTAATTTAAACAGTTGGAATTTTATTGATCACTTTATTATATTTAATTTTCTCTCTTTATTTACAGGTATGTGAACAATTTTATATTTCATTCAACGATAAGTTGTGCACTCATTTTACTTCTTAATATACATATGATGAGAACAAAAGAAATGACATCATTTTTCTTTAATTGGAATCGCATTTGACTATTGGGATTTATTTTTTAATTTTTCTCTGTACTCAATTTTAAAATCATCGTTTTTGAGAGGTAAGAAAATGAATCTCACCGACATCAATTGCCAATTTTTTGTCTGCAAGAACTGTAAGTAGGAAAAAAGTTTTTTCTTCTTTCTCGTTAATTATATTTTTCCTCGGATATTTCATGACCACGTAAAGAGGAAGGAAAAAATTATTTTGTAAGGTTTCCTTTTATTTATTTATACAATATTGATATTTTACATCAGACTTTATGTCGCCTGTCTAAAGAGTTAAAAAAATTCATTGAAATAAGTTGCCTAAGAAGTTATAGCGTATTTGCTGTTTGCACTATCAATTATTAGTGCTAACTGAAAAGTTGCACACTATTTGTTTCATAACAAATTACTGATCAAAATACTTTGATTGATTGATTCGTGATACAAATAAGAAAATTATTAAATTTTGAGGTCACACCACTCAAAAACATTTGCATAGTCAATTACATGTCATTAAGATTATGAGAATTTTTTAACTCATGAACATTAAAGAAAATAGAGTTTAATACACGTGACTTTTAATGATTTTTATGTATTTTATTAATACATCTCGATAAATACATGTGCGATATACAAGAAATTTTCTTTTTAAAAAAATATTTGCCATTACTTTAAATGTATTATGTATAAAAAAGGTGGATAATGTGAAACAACGTAAAGAGAGAAAAAAAGTAACAAATACATAAGCAAGCTTACACATTGTTCAAAGCGTTTCGCCAGTGATCAAGTTTGATGGGTTCATGTTATTTAATATTTTTTGCTCAGTCAGTACGAAAAGTTTGTTTATTGGTATCAGCATTGAAATTTGCAAACACATTTTCTAATCGTAACGAGAAAAAATTAAGACACTGAAAAATTTCGGAATATCTTAAATTAGTGATCGTAAATTTAAGGCAATTAAAGCGCGTACGATAATAAATTAATGTCGAGTGTTTAAGTGAACAAAAAAAAAATATTGTTAATATATTAAATTGTTTAAAAGATAAAAACGATTTATGAAAAAGAAAGGAATTAAAATATAAGCTGTTAAAAAGATGTGCGAATTTTTGTGCTTTTATATCATATGTCCTTGGCTCGTGTGTACTTTATACATGCTCCTTACAATGATATTTATCTGAAAATAAAAACTTAGTGCTAAAGCTAAATTAATGTGAAAAAAATAATAATTTAAATTTGAAGAAAAAATAGCTACAAAATTGAGTAGTGGTGTTCATTAATCGAAATAAGAAGAAGGTATATAAAAGTGATTCAGAGCTATAAAAACAAGCAGGAGACTGTGGAAAAATTCAAATATTATAACATTTCCTTTGGATAATATTATTTTTGGCATAGAAGCCCCAGAAAGTGGAAAATTTTCATTCATTATTTCTCAATATATTCTTACAAATGTATTAATAATTTCATGTTGACCAATTCGATTACGCTTGTTGTACAACACAAACTTACTTTTTCGTAGTTGTTCTATTTCCTATAATGCCATGTGCTTTACATCAAGGACAAAACTTTTTGAAAGGTTGTTCAACTCGACGCGTAATTATTGGGATAGCCCATATTTTTGTTGGAAAGTCATTATTTATTATCTATGATTACCAAGCAAAATTAGAGGAAATAGAAGTAAAGATGAAATTGATTGAAAACTTTTTTTTTAATGGAATCGTTCTTTAATGGCGTGTAATATTAGGGGGAAAGGGGGACTGTTTGACACTTAATAGAGCAGGCTTAATATCCCGTTTTATAAATGATGACATTTTCAAATTTTTTATTCAAAGATCTTTTTACTCAATTACAATAATATCTTATGAGAAGTAAGATCTACGCCATTATTGAACGAGACCTCAATAAATCAACGAAAATTCTAAGTAACTTTAAAATAGAATCAGAAACAACTTCTTAATCATTATTAAAAGTAAACAAAGGAAATTTTAAAAAAATGCATATAAATTCTATTCTGAATGCAAATTTCTAGACATTCAATTGAAATTATTCTGACCTTGCAGAAATGTGAGTAATCAATTATTTCTTCTGGGGAAATACGCTAAAAAAAAGTTTATTAAATCTAGATTTTACAACAAATAATTGTGTAGTTCTTCGTGGCATTTAAATCTACGAATACGAATGAAAGAAAAGAGAGAATTGAGTTGTGATATCACTTTTTTGTTTACGCCAGAATATCATCATTTGCGAAAAAAAAATAAATAAAAACAAACCATAAAATTTTATTGTCACGAATGAAAAATGAGAAACGAAAAAAAGAAGTTGTTGAAAATAAGAAATTAATTTTTTTCACTCTCCCTTTTTATGTTCATTGAGAATCGTGTAAAGAATGGATCATTAACGCATGTGCAACAATAGTATATTAGATTTCAATCTCTTCCTTTATTTATGTCTAACCTTTGATACGAACAAAAACAAACCTGAACTTTAGAATAAACAAAACTTCGACTCTCAATTGAGATGGCAAATACTCTCAATTTTTTTGCTTTAGAATTTCGGAGATAAACCTTGATGTTGCTTATGGTACGATAGGAATAGAGTAATCATGCGCGTTCGTTACAATCAATAGGAATTCCAAAACAATGAATTTCCAGTACTCTCAAAACAGTTATAGTAGATACACCAACAAAAAAATGG